AAAACCAATGCCCTATGATGGGGCAACTTTAAGAGGAACCATCACATAAGCCAGTCAAATATTTATCCAAATGTGAATTGGTCTTTAGTTAGGGTGATATTTATCGATGCACCATGCATGAATGTATTCATTCCATTCAATAACTTTCCTAGGAAACTGCTGTATTATCCCATTTTACAAAATATGAGCCCTGGTGGTGCTGTGGGGACAGCCTATGGGCTCCTCAGGCGCAAGTTCAGTGGTTCAAACCCACCCAGCCACTCGGTGGGAGGACCGAGGAAGGCGGGCTGCTCCTGTGAAGATTTAGCCTTGGAAACCCTCCACAGGGTTTGCTGAGCCAAAGTCGACTCAGTGGTAGGCCTTTGGTTTTGGTTTACAAACTAAGACACTTCAGCTTCAAAAAAGTTAAACCCATTACCCAGAGACGCACAAATCAGTGGCGAGGATTCTAGCGGCAATCCCCGATTTCCTAGCCCAACTCTGCTCCCCCTCACTCTCTCTTCGTCCTGTTCCCCAAATTCAAACTTCACTTGGAACGAAGGAGAGCGAGCGGCAGGCGAGACGCGGCGGCCAGTCACTCTCTCCAGCAGCCCCTTCCCCCTCTCTCTGCCCAGGGCTTTTCTTTCAAAGGCCCCCGAGTCTCCGCGAGAGAAAGACGGGGCTTCTCGATTCCCGTAAAGTTAGCGTCTGAAACTCACAGGGGAAGTTCCACCCCGACCTCCAGGGTTGCATCGAGCCCCAGGCAGCCAGCGAGAGGTCCCTCCCCCGACAAGCACCCGGTTACCGTGACTCAATGGCATCCTCAGCCGCCAGCTCTCAGCCACTTGCTTTTTCAAAGATTCCTCCATGACAGCGCTGGATAACTCCGCCATCATTTCCTTCTTCCCTTTTTTTCCTATCCGGCCCTGGTCAGGCTCCGCGGATCGTTTCCCACTCATCTCCTCACGGCTTACAGACCCACGCCACTTGGATCACGCCGCAGCGCTCTTCCTACAGAGACTACAGTTCCCAGAACACCCCGTTTCCCATGCTCCCCAGCGCCGTTCAATGAGAAACGTAGCGTGAGAAGGCGGGACTTGTGGCGCTATGTCCAATAGAAGCTTCATACGTAGTCGCCAGCCCACCGGCGATTGGCCTGATAGAGCTTGGTCTTGCCCCTCTACTTCCTGCCGCCAGAGGCTCCCATGCACTTCCGGCGTGCGCTTGCCTCCTCTTGCGCTTTCACGTTAATGGCGGGCGCTGGCGGCCTCTGAGCGGGACACAGATAACCGCTGCCCGCACGGGGAGAGTTTTCCCCGCCTCCACCCTCCGCTAGCCGCTAGTTCTCGAGCTCGCCAGCATGTCTGTGGTGCCGCCCAATCGCTCGCAGACCGGTTGGCCTCGGGGCGTCAACCAGTTCGGCAACAAGTACATCCAGCAGACCAAGCCCCTCACCCTGGAGCGCACCATCAACCTGTAAGTGCGGCCCACCGTCGCCGCGGCCTTCGCACCCGCACCCCGGAGCACTCCTGAAGCCACCCTTCCTCTTCCGGCGCGCCCCCCTTCCCCATCCCGTCTCCCCTTCGCGAGCGCGCTCTTTTCTGGGCCCCCTACCCGTCCTCCGATTTCGCGGGGTCAGAGCCCTCCTGCAAAGGACTTCCCTCCCGCCTCCCCTCCCCTGTATTCAGTCTCCTTTGCTGCTGTTTTTGAGTAGAATCAATAAACGTAAACTGAAGTTTGCTTTGAACGCAGCCTTTTCCCGCCTCCTTGGAGGTAGCTAATTAAAAAACCTAGTCAAGGTTTATGCTTTCCCATGAGTTGCACATTTTAAAATTTGATATTCGATAATTAATTTTATGTCAGTGGCCCGCCGTAGAGTATTTTTTGTTGTTGCAATGTTCATGTTTCTCTAACAATAAGCTTTCATGATCTAACGGTCATGCATACGTCTAGTTTTTGCTTTTTAACTGCTATCGTATTTCCGCTATACATAGGCCACATTTCGTTCATCTCTTTTTGGCTATCTTTCCTTCCTGCCCATTCGCTGTCTTTTCTGCCGCCGCGACAGCATCCAGGCACCCAATAGGTTTTAGGGTGCCGTGATGGTTGGCGTTTCAGGCCGTGGAGACCTAGATAGTTCATTGTGGACTCATTGTATTTTCGACGCCTTTTTGATTGAGCACGAAATGGCATTGTATTTCAAGGTCGCGCTCATACACAATCTTGTTGTGGCAGGTAATTTGCATTTGTGGTGTATTTTACTAAAGGATTGACCTGTCAGCCTTTTCTTGCTTTTCTTTTTTTATTAATCATTTCTGAGTTTCTTATGCGGAGGTCTTGAAGCGTAGGGACCAGTTTCTACTGGTCAGGGTTTTCACAGCCTAAGGATTTCCTGATCCTTTGGGGTATGACTCTTTAGGTATTCTCAGATAAATTGCCTTGGAAATTAAAGAGAATAAAAATGCTGGGCACATACAATTGAGCATTACTTGATAGTTACTACTAGTACCTATAGGTAGTATTCCATCAACATTCACCTTCATTTCAAAAGAGTTCTATAAAATGGGAAAGGTAAATGTTTTCCTTTAAAAATGTGGAAAGCGGACCCTTTGGATTAGTGCGTGGTCATCAGAACTAAGACCCAGGTTTTTCATTTCCCTTACTATCTGAATCAGTGACGAGAAGCTTGATAATTTTCACTAGATGAAATAGCTGTGCTTTTAGTAACATGTTTTCAGTGGTTGCTACATTAGGGTTATGAGCTGATAGATTTACAGTGCTGCTCCTTTTCGATGTAAACACAGGGTTCAGAAGTAATCACTGCTGTACACTCAATTCATGTGAATAGATGGTGGTCTATTAAAGTGCAGACAAGCCTTTCTTCTTTACCCCAGTTGTTTCCTCTTAAGGAAATGTTGCGTGAATGCTTGCTCTTTGTTTCAGGCTGTGTCTGGTGCTGGGTATATGCGGTGAGTAAGTAAGGGGTGGGCTGTGCTTTAAGGGCCGAGGAGGATGTGTGTGACTGATGGGTGTGTGACTGACTTGATGCTGATTTCACAGTCAGAACTCGGCTATTTCATCTTGATGCCATCTTACTTGATGTGAGAACTGACTGGAGATGTTCTGGCGAGCCCTAGTTCTTGTGATACCAGGTGGTGAGAATGTAATGTTAATATATATTTAAAACATTTTTAAAAAATTTGCTTTGCACACAGTGATTGTTGTGCCAACAATGTCAGCTGCAACATTGGGTCAAGAAGTTCTGTATATACCTAATCCTCACTCACCAACACAGGTCAGTTCCAAAGATTCTTCTCCAGCACCACAATTCAAATGCATCGATCCTTCTTCATTCTTCTTTACTCCGGGTCTTAACTTTCACATGCGTATGAGACAATGGAAAATACCCTGATTGGGGTCAGCTGTTCTTTAGTTCTCAAAGTACATCCTTGCTTTTCAGTAGTACTCTATAAAAAGTGCAGCAGATTTGCCTAACGCAACCTGTCTTCTGGTCTCTTGACTGCTACTTCTATGAGCATTGATTCAGGCAAGACAGTCCTTGACAACTTCCATTTTTCTCCATTTATCATGATGGTTACCAATTCGTCCAATTGTGAGGATTTCGGTTGTCTTTATGATGAGTTTTAATTCATCTTGAAGGCTGCAATATGTATTATCTGCATACAGCAGTCGTTAATGAGCCTTCCTCCAATCCTGATGCCACACTCTTCTTCATATCAGCCAGCTTTACTGATGATTTGCTCAGCACACAGATTGAACAAGTGTGGTGAGAAGGTCTAACTGATGCACACTTTTCCTGAGTTTAAACTGTGCAGTGTGCCCTGGTTCTGTTCTCACAACTGCCTCCTGATCGATGTAAAGTTTTGAAGGAACACAATGAAGTGGTCACGAATTCCCCTGCTCAAGGTTACCTATAGTTTATAATGGTCCGCACAGTTGAATGCCTTTGCATAGTCTCTAAGTCATAAGTATTCTGGTATTCTCTGCTTTGAGCCAAGATCTTCTGACATCAATGATAGCCCTTGTACTCTTTCTTATAGATTCACTTTTATTTGGACTTAATGCATCAGCGGTGGGTAAAAGATCTAACCAACACTATATTTGAGAGCTTACTTTAGCCTACTGTACTTAATATGATTGGCAACTGTCAAATTACATCATTACATTAACTGCCAACCCTTGGACGATTTTGGTCTACCCGAATTGACATTTAATTTTCGCATCACAGTCACCATTACTCTCACCTGGTTAAGCATTGCTGCCAGGTATAAGTTAGTACATTACATTGTCAGAAAGTAGGGTTTTTGCTTATTGTGGTAAATGTGAAATGTCAGGTAGTTGGCAAATGAAGAGTAGTGTCTAAAGAGCACTGAAAATATTCTTTTTAAAGATGGTATTTAAAGGATGCTTCACTTATATCAAGAATTTGCCTTCTACAAGTGTTTCTCCTCCTGCTCCCTTGCTTTGTTCCCATTTCTAGGACAGCTGAGCAGCTCTGTGGATGCCCTGCCTTCACATCAGGGCTTTGCATGCCTTGGGGATAGGTAGGCAAGTGGCCGGCACACTCTTCCTTGAAACTCTGTGCAATTGAAAGGTCCATAAATATAGGGTTTAAAACTAGTTCTAAGGGAAAGTTCGAGCTTTATTTGACAGGATGAAAACTGCCTTCACCACTGTGTATCTAGCTAATTTTGGATTCTGGGTAAAAGAGGGGTGGGAATAAGAAGGGAAGAATAAGGCTACTGAATAATGGCTTCTTACCTAGGGCTGGGTGGGATGTCAAACAGGTGATACGAAGAGGACAGGGTGTGGCGTCAACAGTCTGTGATGGGTGACCAGGAGAATTAGCAGCTAACGAGGGAGGTGATGATGGAAAGTAGTGCTTCTGTTTATAGAAGAAAATTGACATTAAAAAAAACCACCACATCCCTGGGCCTATTTTGACTCATATTGACTCTACAGGACAGAGTACCACCTATAATTAAACACACTTCAAATTAGATTAGAGGAATTGAAGGAGACATTAACCTGATATTAGCCAGATAACAGTATATCAGCCAGACCTAAAACCAGAGAATATCTGCTTCTGTTAGCATTAAACGGCCTAAAGGCAAGTGTTCTTCTGTTCTGTGGGTTTGGGGAGTTTCTAATAAGGAGTCTCGGTGGCCTGTTATGATATGTTCGGAGCTGCTGGCCATGAGGTTGGCAGTTTGAACCTCCCAGCAGGTCCTCGGGAGCAAGATGAAGCTGACTGCTCCTGTAGAGAGGGACAGTCTCAGAAACCCACCCAGGCAGGTCTCCCTGCCCATGAGTCAGAATGGGCTCCATGGCAACGCGTTTGAATTTGAGGCGTAGACTCTCAAGTGAGGAGTAGCAGGTTCTAACAGAAAGCCTGGATTCATAGTTCTGCAGTCTTTGTGAAGTAGTTGTGTAACTTTGGACATGTCTTCTGTCTCAGTACAGGATCTACAATAAGCTCTCTATATGTGATTGGTGTCTGTTGTGGTAAAGGCATTTTGATCTTTGGGTCTCATGTTTGGTATTTGTCTTTGGATCATAGGTATCCACTTACCAATTACACTTTCGGTACAAAAGAGCCCCTCTATGAGAAGGACAGCTCTGTGGCTGCCAGATTTCAACGCATGAGGGAAGAATTCGATAAAATTGGAATGAGGAGGACTGTGGAGGGAGTTCTGATTGTACACGAACACCGGCTACCCCATGTGCTATTACTGCAGCTCGGAACAACTTTCTTCAAATTGTAAGTGTTGGAAATTCATGGCACGACGATTTTTATGTACCGTATATACTCGAGTATAAGCCGACCCGAATATCAGCCGAGGCACCGAATTTTACCTCAAAAACTGCACTAAAATGCACTGAAAAAAACTTGGCTTATACACAAGTATATACGGCAGTTTTATACAGTTTTATGCAGTTTTCAATAGAGCGTTAGCTCTTAGTCATTTTGTTGGACAAACACCACTGTAATGGAGTCCTTAGAAAATCACAAAGAGTGCTCTAGTGCAGGGCTCCTGTATCGGTTCCTTCACTAGAGTGTGATATTAATGATAGCTCGACAGGCGCTCCTTACCAATAGATTAGTCCACGCTCAATTTCTAGGCTTCATGCAGCATTACTGAGAATGGATGGGTATTGTTCTCTGTGCAGGATGACTAGGTAAGGAGGGTTTCCTATTCTCCAAATGACTTTCATTTCTAAAGGTAACAATTTACTTTTGATTATTTAAACTCATAAATCTCTCAATTTATATTTAGACCACAGCCATTTGACCAAAGAGTACCTCAAATACTTAAGATTGAAGTTCTGGAAAAGGGGTTCATTCTTCAGGTTAAAGAACGGGGGCATTTCCAGACCCTGTCTGTCCCAGGTTACCTGTTGGGCTGTGATCCACAACTCAAAACCACCAGCAGCTCCACGGGAGAAAGACCGGCCTTTCTCCTCCTGTAAATAGTTACAGTCTTGAAACCTGCAGGGAGTCCAGAGAAAAGAGACTTGGGTGGCCTGGTGGCTTGCAGTTAGATTTTCTTTCCCGTCTAGTTTATGTTATGGTGTGTATTTAAAGTTTAGCTTTGTGTACTATAAATTCACATAAATTCAATTTTCTAGCATATTTTAATCGTTTGCAGTGCCTGTTTGGTTAGATTTCCGTATCCTGTGACATAAAATGCTTGCTGAGTTCTTGATAGAGATAACTGCTGTGTTCTTCCTGCTGTCCTCGAATTGTAAGCTGAGACTCTTCCCTCTGCAGACCTGGCGGGGAGCTGAATCCAGGAGAAGATGAAGTTGAAGGACTAAAGCGCTTAATGACAGAGGTATTTTTCGGTTTACCCGCTTGGACGTGTTCCTTCTGGCCCATGTGATAACCATCAATTTAATGAGCAATTCGGCTTTTAGATGTTTTGTGAAAGAGATGTTTATTTCAAAAGTAATTTTTCTTTCTTTTTAGTTGTGATTTAGGTGAAAGTTTACAGATCAAAACTGGTTTTCCAGTCACCAGTTCATGCACATCTTGTCAATGCCCCTGCAATGTAGCAGCACTCCACCCAGTTGAATGTTTAGCTTTCAGTAATTGAAACTTGTGTGGTTAGTGCAGTACTTATTTTCTGCAAATTGACTGATAATTGGTTATGTCATGTACTCGTTCATCCCTTAGCTGAAATGTTGCAACAATTATGGTTAATAAAAGCCAACACTTACTGAGTATTTATTCTCTTAGGCACAGTTCTAAGTGCTTTCTTTATGTTTGCTAAATCCTTAATCCTTCTAACACCCTAGGGAGTGGGTACGCTAATGCCGGTCTACAGACGTGGAAGCGGGGACGCAGAAGTTAGAGACCGTGGTGTCACACGGCTGGTGTGTTGTGGAACGTAGGCAGGCTCGTGCCCGAGTGAGCCTCGAGATAAAGATCCCTGCTGCATGCTGTTTTCATTTTTGCACACGTCTCATACTTTCCCAAGCTTTGGGTCAGCCAATCTAAAGTTGGCTTGCAAAGACTTGGGACCAAATCAATAGATGTTGGAAAGTTTTGAGATTGCAGGTTATTTTCATGATAACATTTGAGAAACGTAGTATGCCGTTTTCTCTCTCTAACCACAAGCCTGATACGTACTCAGTGCAAAAATCATTGGCAGTTTCTGAAAAGCAGAAGAAACAACAACCCTTTACTGGTTGGTCTTTATGATATTTTAAAGATGGACTTGGACTTCCAATTAAATAGGGTAGAATGAACCTACCTGCTTATCTTTGCCTTTGCTTCCTCTCAAAGCCATTAAAAAGTTAGTAACACACACACACACACAGAGTAAAGTGAGACAATAGCAAAACCATTTGTGGAAGCTGTAAAGCAGATGGGCAAATGCTAACTGACTAAGGGATCTAAGTCTAGTTAGAAGACAGGTTGAAATCCACACTGCAGAACAGAGAGGCTCAGGAATTAGTGGTGCCAAGTTACCTGGGAAGTGGGGCATGCATGAACTTAAAGCGGTTTTGTTCAAAAGTCTTCATAGGATGTGTTTTTATGCCTCGATGATCTTCCCTGCTCTTTACAGTCAAGCAAAGGCTGGCAGGTGATTGCTTCTCTGGAGAGGCTTAACCAGAAACCACTACGCAACAAAACACTTCAAGGCAGCAGTTCCCAACCTGTGGGTCGCGACCCCTTTGGGGGTCGAATGACCCTTTCACAGGGGTGGCCCAATTCATAACAGTAGCAAAATGACAATGATGAAGTAGCAACGAAAATAATGTTATGGTTGGGGGTCACCACAACATGAAGGTGGCGGCATTAGGAAGGTTGAGAACCACTGCTTCAGGGCCTGGGGCGCTAAGTGAAAGTCTACATCCTGCAGACAGAGTCCCACACTTGTACTAGACTGATAGAACTGGACAGTTCCATTTAAGTACTCTAGGCAGAAGATAGGGAGTTTTGTTTTAGAGAAAATGATCCGTCTAAGCAACAAATACCTGCAGGGGCTGACTTTGGGAGCCACCCCAAAGCAATAGTGCAACCCTGTCACCTGTGCACTGAGGTCCCAAGCGTGCATCTTTCTGCCTCCTCTTCCACTGCGAGCACAGAACCAGATAGCAGGCTTTTGGAGAGCGTATCTTACTGAACAAAGGAAGGTGAATTCTCTGTCCACTGAACTATTAAATTACGAAAGGAAAAGAACTGCAGGGGTGAAATTCAGCCATCAATGAAAGTATGCTTCCTGGAGTGAGGAGGAGCTGGGCCTGTAAAAGAGCCCCATTAAAAATAATGAAAAAAGACATAAAAATAAGTAAAGTATCTGTCTAGCACAAGCAGAGAGATCAGTGATTGTTAGTGGTTGCCAGGACTTGAAGGAGAGAATGGAATGGGTGTTCTGCTGAAGGGACACTGAGTTTCTCTTTGGGGTGATGTTAAACTTGTGGAAATGAGTAGTGATGATGTTAATACAGCATGGTAAATGTAATTAATGTTTCCATATACTTAAAAACGGTTAAAAAGGCCAGCGTGTTTTGTTTATTTTTAAAATCATTTTATTGGGGGCTTGTACAACTCTTAACCACAATCCATACAACCATCCATGGTGTCAAGCACATTTGTACATTTGTTGCCATCATTATTCTCTAAACATTTTCTTTCCACTTGAGCCCTTGATATCAGCTCCTTGTTTTCCCCCTCCCTTCCCCACTCTCCCTCCCTCACTAAACCTTGATAATTTATAAATTATTATTATTTTGTCATGTCTTATACTGTCGGACGTTTCCCTTCACCCACTTTTCTGTTGTCCATCCCCCAGGGAGAGGGTTATACGTAGATCCTTGTGATCGGTTCCCCCTTTATCCCCCCACCTTTCCCCTACCCTCCTGGTGTTGCTACTCTCATTATTGGTCGGGAGGAGTTTATCTGTCCTGGATTCCCTGTGTTTCCAGCTCTTATCTATACCTGTGTACATGCTCTGCTCTACCCAGATTTGTAAGTAGAATTGGGATCATGATAGTGGCAGGGAGGAAGCATTAAAGAACTAGAGGAAAGTTGTATGTTTCATCTGTGCTATACTGCACCCTGACTGGCTCAACAACTCCCCACGACCCTTTGGAAGGCCATAGTTTTGTTGTATATATCTTACCAAATAAAATGTAAAAATAACAAAAGGTAAGTGTTGCCCTCACATCTAATGGTGTGGCAGTTAGATAATCCGTCAACTTGTGAGGGGTAGAGTCTAGCCTGTCAATCAGTCGCAGCTTGATGACCTCATTTGGAGGTTCAAAGGAGATATAAATAGCTCACTGGGGCCAGAGCCATTCCCTCTCTGCTTCACATTGCTGTTGACAAGTCACACGGAGCTATGCTGATGGCTGCCCAAGCCTTGGAGCTGGAGGAGCCACGTGGAGACCCACGCCAGCGCTGAGATGTTTCCACCGCCCCTGGATCCACAAGACTGTCCATTCACTGGCTTGTGAACTTCCTGCACCAAGTGTTCTTGTATGTGTTGTGTGAGTCTGAGGAGGACTTTACAGACGTATCAGACATACGGGCTAATAACGGATCTGTGGACTTTATCTGGACTGGGCTGGGATGTTTTCTTAATCTACAATAACTTTTATATAAATCTCTTAAGCACATAAGAAAATAATGAGGATATTCAAAGAAGAGAGAAAGGACTCTTGGGTATTAAGAAAGTGTTAGATACAATCCACCCACCCCCGGCAGGGGACAAACAACAGAAATGTGGGTGAAGGGACACAGTGACTGATGGTGTAAGATAGGAACATAATAATAATCATTTATCAAGGGGTCACAAGGGTGGGAGGGTAGGAAAAAAGAGGATCTGATACCAGGGCCTCCTGTAAAAAAATATTTTGATGATGATGGCAACATGTATACAGATGTGCTTGATACAATTGATGTATGGATTGTTCTAAGCTGTAAGAGCCCCCAGTAACATGATTTATAAAAAAAAAAAAAATTAAGTGTTGGGAATAAAATGCAGAAGAGTTAAAGTTTGAATTGAAATCTTATCAGAAAGTAAAATAAAAATATCCAATGATGGAACAGAGTTGAGAAAAGATAAAATTAGTGGCTCACTCGAGGATCAATGTAAACTACAGATAAAGAGAATAGAAAGAAAAGGAAGAATTTTCAAAGCAATGATTCAAAACATTCAAACCTTGAAGGATGTGTTTTCAGATAAAAAAGATAGCGAGTGGCAAGGTGTACACAGAGGACTGTCTTTCTGAAATTTGAGACGAGTAAGGATCCCCAAATCCCCCAAAGATCGGGGCTGGAGGGTGCATTCCAGAATTTTCCATTCAGCCAAACTGCAAATCAAATGTGTAGGTAGAACTGTTATTTTCAGACATGCAGAGTTTCCACCAAAAAGAAAAAATGTTATCTGGTACATTTTCTCAAGAAGCTATAGAGAGTGTTTGCCACCAACATGAGCAAACTGAGTTACAGGATGCGGGCGAGACAAGAGGCCCCAGCTGCTGGGCAGGGCTCGAGAGCCCCTGGAGGAGGTTGGGGCAGGGTGACAGGAAGGTACACTAATTCTCCAACCAGAGAAAGGTCTAGGGATCTGCTTCAGAAACAGCAGCCCTGCCAAGCCCCGGGAGCACTGTTCTGTGACAGCGGGTGCCCTTGTCTGTTCTAGATGGCTTCCTTAGAACTGACCGGTGTGTGGAGCGACGTGCAATAAGAAACGAGAAGTTCTAGAGAAGAAGCCTGTACCGAAGGCTCACTAGCCAGCTGTCTGTTGGAAGTGTTGCCGCAAGCGTTCTCTTCCCTGAAGAAGGGTAGTCATGGGGGTGTTTCTAGCCGCTAACGAGCCTCATTTCTTGGTGACAGATACTCGGGCGTCAAGATGGAGTTCTGCAAGACTGGGTCATTGATGACTGCATTGGGAACTGGTGGAGACCGAATTTTGAGCCGCCTCAGGTAAGTGTTTGTCTGTTTGTTGGATGTGTGTAGAACCAAAAATAAAAAATACTTTAACCCCGCCCCCCTGCAGTTAAGAAATAAAAGCAGAGTTTGGCTTGATGTTTCCTTTTCTCTCTACTGGAGATTAAACACTACAAAAGAGAATAGTAAATGAATGAGTGCACAGCCAGTTAGCAACTCATGGTTAGACTTGTTTCCTCAGCCCCTAGCCCCAGTGCCCTTCTCCCCTGTCCTGTCTTTGGCTTAGTTTGAAGCAAAATCTAGATACCATATCTAACTTACAAATATTTCCACGTGTATCTCTAAAGGATAATTAAATGATCATTTCAACATCCTGAATTGCTTTGACAAGTCCCTCTGACCGTAATTGCGTGTTTTGCTTGCCGAGTGTTGCTGACACAGCAGGGCAGCACGGTCCATGGATAGGCGTGGGCTAGGAAGCTACGTGACTGGCCTAGGGTGGGGAGTCGATGCTCTTTGTTCACCCTAGTTGTTCTAGTGTTGACTGCCCGAGAACAGCCCTGAATTTAGCTTTAAGAAAACAGTTTCTTGGGGAAAGAGTGAAGTTCCGGTATATCCAAAGATAGATGGAATAGTTACTTTAAAGGGTTTTTGGTTTCTTGAACCGTGCTTGATCTTATTGGACAATGCTTGGTGATAACCCTAGATGTTTTCCTGGCTACTTCTTATTTGTTTGTTTGACGCTGCTTCTGAATATCTTCCTTCACCCTCCTTACCCGGTCCTGGGGGCCCAAACTCAGTATCAGGCCCACTGCCTTCTAGTGGGTCCCAACCCTTGTAGGACAGAATGGAATCGCTCCGTAGGCTTCCAAGGCTGTAAACCTTCATGGAAGCCGATGGCTTTGTGTTTCTTTCATGGAGCAGCGACGGAGTTGGAGCTCCTGACCTGCCCAGTGTGAAACCCACTACATCATCAGGGTTCCAATCCTGGGATCGTGATCTTAATTCACTGAGCATGATGGTTGGCTCTGGCAGTGTCAAGTACAACGACTAGTCCACTCCCCACTGCCCTCCCTGCCCCGTGAGTTTCCAAGGTCGTAACTGTTGACAGGAATAGAAAGCTCCATCTTTTCCCCTTCAGTGGTGGGTAGTTTCAGACTGCCGACCATGTAATCCGACTTACAACCACTGCCCCACCAGGGCCCCTTAGAACATGAAATCTGTGTGCTTATTTGGTTTCCTTTTGTTTTTAAATTGTTTTATTAGGGGCTCATACAACTCATCACAATCCATACGTACATCAATTATGTAAAGCACATTTGTACATTCATTACCCTCGTCATTCTCAAAACATTTGTTCTCCACTTAAGCCCCCGGCTTAGGTCCTCATTTTCCTCTCCCTCCCCGCTCCCCACTCCCTCATGAGCCCTTGATAATTTATAAATTATTATTTTGTCATATCCTGCCCTGTCCTGACGTCTCCCTTCACCCACTTTTCTGTTGTCCGTTCCCCAGGGAGGAGGTCACATATAGTTCCTTGTAATCGGTTCCCTCTTTCCAACCCACTCTCCCTCTACCATCCCAGTATCGCCACTCACTCCACTGGTCCTGTAGGGATCATCCGCCCTGGATTCCCTGTATTTCCAGTTCCTATCTGTACCAGTGTACATCCTCTGGTCTAGCCAGACTTGCAAGGTAGAATTCGGAACGTGATAGTGGGGGGAGGGGGAGAGGAAGCATTTGGTTTTCATAAAGTAATTCGTGGCTGATTTTTTGTGTGTGGATGATAGCCTGGCTCTTCCTCCCAGCCTGCCTTAGTCTAGAAGCTCTGCTGAAACCTGCCCAGTGTGAGGGTGCCCCTGCTGCAACAGGAGCTACTGATGCCACAGTTTGCAGTCTCACAGCAACATTAATGGACAAATGGGAGGGGCATGCCAAAGCAGGGCAATGAAACAAGGAAGCCGGGGAAACGATGGGTGCGTTGCGCTGTGGTAGTGGCAGCCTGTGGACTATACCTATGTCTGAGCTGTCAGAAGAATGAACAAATCCCTTTTGGAGAAAGTACGGCTACAATGCCCTTGGGAAGCAAGGCTGATGAGACATTGTCTTGCTTCCTTTGGACACATCATCAGGAAAGACCAGTCCCTAGAAAAGGACATCAGACGTGGTAAAGTAGCAGGTCCATGAGATGGATTGACACAACAGCTGCAAGACCATGTCTCGGGACCCCCCACTGTTTTGTTCTGTCAGGCCTCAGTTCGCCATGAGTTGGGAGCCCCTGTGGTGGCCCCTCAACCACCACGAATTGTTTAGGTGTCTGAGGAACAGCAGTGCCAGGACGAGAAGGAAAGGCACGCGTGGCCTCCAGAGGAAACTTGGGCGACACCACTCCCTTTGGCCTGGTTGTCGTGTGGGAACTTTGTTGTATGTGAACCGCAGGCCACTTGGCTGGTGCTGCTCAAGCTGCTGCTTAATTAGCCACTGCCTAAACCATCATACCAAATGCCTCGTCGTCTTGGCTGCGGAGGGGCTCTCCAAAGCCTGGGACAATTGCCTCAGTTCATTTTGCCTGGAGGCTGGCCGTGGCTGGTAATTGTTTTAACTGGAATATTGGTTGAGTATTATCTTCATTATCTCATGTGTCTCTAATAGAAATATCCCTTCATTAAAGCAACTCAGTTTCTCAAGTTTAAAAACTGAAAAACCAATCTGTTGCCCTTGCAGGGATTCTGGCTCAGCGTGACCCTGAGATGTAGTCAGTTAATATTTCCCTGATAGCCATAATCCCTTATGTGATAAACGAGGGAGTTACCCCCTCCCCAAACGAATTTGTTTTCCCAGAGCTATGTAGTTAAATGTTTTTTACAAAGCAACGTTGTCACTTCAAAGTACTCCATTACGTTTAATACATTTGCCAAATCTGTGATCCCATTCTTGGAAACATTTTCCAAACATCTGTTTGGATGGCTGACAGGACCTCCCTCGTGGGTTTTTTTGTTTGTTTTTTCCTTCACCTCGTCTAAGTCGTCAAATCGCTGCCCTTTCATGTCCCTCTGCATTCACAGAAACAAAGAAGTCACATGGAGTGAGTTCAAGTGACTAAGGTGTGAGCTGATTTTTGCCCAGAACCGGTGCCCTGAGATGGCTGTGTGAGTAGGTGCTTTGTGGTGGCAAAACCAGTCCCCCATCGGCCACAAAGCAGGCCTTGTTTGTTGCACTCTATTAATGCAATTTTTCCAGAACTTCTAAATAGAAAGCTTGATTGACAGTTCGGCCTGGTGGAATGAACTCCAGATGCACGATCCCTCTCACATCACATCTGTTTTTGGGGATGTGCCCCCTCATATTCTACCCCCTATGCCTATGGCTATATAAAATGAGTTATGGAGGGAGTTCTGTGCTATGCCAATGGAAAAATTGGGATGTATTCTGAATCTCCACCTTATGAAAGTGTGAACCAAGTCACTTTTTGCTTCCTTGGGATGTAGTCTGCTGAAAGACAAACTCCACATGTTTATCAGCCCTTCCTCTGAAGAGAGAAACACTAGGGCCATCAAAGAGGAAGAGCCTCAAGTGGAACATGTTTGATATCCCTGTGTGAAGTGGCAGAGACCAAGAACAGAAACACCAGAGACTGGCTCAGGGACCATGCTGTAGGACAGCGGAGTAGAGCTGAGACCATGAGCCTATGAGTCAGAGCCCTGGCCAGTGGGGCAGAGGCCCAGTGATCCTGTGGCCGAGAGGCTGAGGATTAGAGAGAGACTTGGCTGTCAGCTAAGGAGAGAAGTACTGCTGTGGACCAGTGACGATATCCTTAATATTTTCTAATTCTGGTAACCTCCCTAAAAAACCCCATAATCATGAGTATTGTCTGTAAGTTCTGTGTGGCTGAAGCAATAAATTATCAAACCCAGCAGAGAAGTCGAATGCTGTGGCAGGTCCCTTTGGTGTCCAAAGAAGGATGGAGGGTGGAGGCAGTCTGACCTGTGCCGAGTGGCAGAAAACCTAGGGCTGATGAGGAGTTGGATTCTCCCCCCTTGTGTATCAGGGGACTTCGATAGGGTCCTGGACTACATTCACAGACCCTACCTAGGGGTTCTGAGGCTGACAGTTTTTACAGGAGCAGGCAGCCTTTTTCTCCCATGGAGCAGCTGGTGGGTTTGAACCACCGACCTGGTGGTTAGCAGTCCAACGCTTACCTGACAGCATTACCAGGTCTTCCCTGTTTAGGAGACTAGAAATCTGAATTCTAGGTGCTGGCTCCAGAGGCAGGCGTTTCCTCAGCTCTAGAAGAATGTCATGGTCTTGCCTGCTTTGCTTCCTGGCTCCTCGGGGCACCCTGTGTCTGGGCATCTATCGTATCCCGTCT